AGTCTTCCTGCTGACTCAGATCTGTATAAATGTTCCACTTTTATAATAGGATTTTCTTCATGTCTTAATGAGCCTCAACTAAATGATAGTAACACAACATTTCCTCGGGATATCATTTTCAATTTTCTGTCTGACATTAATCTAGTGATGAACTTTGACTAAAATTTCTCATAAAAACCATTGCAGGCAATGTCAAATTTAAGAAAGACAGAAAGTAAGGTTGAAAGAATTGAGGATGCAATAAGGTTTATCAATAGTCAACTTTCGCTGGAAGACCCTACTGCTTCAGCCACAATATTTCTGCCTGCAGACTCTTTTACTCTGGCTTCTCAGGATCAATTGACTGCTAGTGTATTAAATCCATTGGCAAGTTGTCATGTACAAGATGCTGAACTTAACAGTTCATCTGACCAAAATGAAATGAAAATTCCCTCAGAACTTATATCTCATTGCCTAGCTACATTGTTCATGATTCAGGTAAATCACATCACCCTGAATTTGATTTTTACTGGAAATCACATTAAAAGTTATTAGATACAGGTTAATCAAATATTACAAAATTCATAATTCAGTCAGTTGTCCTATTCAAGATTCCTTACCTGTACATCCTAATCTATATTTTGATAATACAAAATGCAGAAGTGTACGGAACGACAATTTCCCCCAGCTGATGTTGCTCAGGTACTAGATTCCGCTGTCACCAGTTTGCAGCCATTATGTTCAAAGAATCTTCCAATATATGGTGAGATACAGAAATGCATGGGTATTATAAGAAATCAGATATTGGCACTTATACCTACATAGATTGGACTCGTTCCTTCTTTGTTGTTTGTAAATCTGTAATACTCGGGTATTTGGCTGGTTCAACTCTAGCTGAGGTGATCTCTATGGAGGCTCGTAAGAGATGCCTACCTCCATTGGGACCCAGATATTTGATATTCATATTTTAAAAGGGGGAGAAACTATTTATAGACTGTTCATACAATTGTAGCCGAAAGAAAAGAGAAGATTATATATCTTTTCTCTTTTCAGATGTACATATTTTTAAAGATCAAATCATAGTTAGGGACTAGCATGTCCTATTCAGCACCATTAATGTGTATGATGTCATCATGTTAAATGCCATAAGCTTTGTGTATGCTATTGTCAAATTGAACAGGCTGATTAATGTATATTCCCGGAACTGTAATTGTAATCTTTATTTTCTTTCACCGTTTTGATACCTTCCTTCCCCTCCCAGAATTCAGGTTGATAAGAATTTGAGTGTTACTACAAAATAAGATTCAGAACTCGGTAGGTGTCATTTTTAACCCTTATGCTTGGATGGGATTAAAATCTCGTTTTAATTGTTGGACTTCCCATGTAAATCTCTAGTTATGACAACATGCATAGCTCTTTCTTATACATACGCAGCTTTAAGATGATAATTTGGAACTGTTATTAAGCCAAGCAAAAACTGCATCCTGCATCCGGAACACAACTTTATTCGACATTGGAAGTATTTTTCTGTTCGTGTTCTATTCGAATAAATATTAAACCGAATAAGTTTCATTACGCACTTTATTCCAATTGAAAAATAGACATGTTTTGTTAATAACTACGCCAACATCGTTTTCGTTCATCGTCATCCATTACCGTCTACTCATTCTCCACATTCCCTTTTTCTTTCTGAAAAATAAAATCCATAAAATACATCTTTTGAACATGGCGAAGTGGATTAGAAATATCCGGAACAGAAAAAAGAAAAAACATATATCACACATGTCCCAGTTCAGGGGTAAAAGAAAAGAAACACAAGAAAATGCGTACCCGTCACTCGGCAATGCCTACTCCGCACTATTCCCCGAACTAAAGCTAGTCAACAAAACAATTGTATTTCGAATATTGGTCCTCATAATTTTCCCCCCGAAATTTGTATTTCACAACATTAATCGATTACAGACCTTGTGCGCTCCCATTTGCTTGTGTATCTATATCAGGAGCACAACATGTTTGAACATAATATGATTGGGGGAAGATGAATAAATTTGGGACAATCAGACTAAAATTTACAGGCCTCTTTTTCTAGCCTAAAATCTTAAACAAGGCCATGAAGCAAGAGGCCAATCCAATCGTATTTCAATGAAATAAAGATGAAATCACCGTGTACAAGCTCTTGAATCTTTTTAGTGGCTGGGCCGATGATGGTTGCCTGACTATATGCAAGTGTCATGACCACCACACTAACTGTCAAACTAGTTTGGTACCAATCCACACTAACCGAGGAAGAACTTGAATATGTCACTCAGGGATATAATGCCTTCTACACGCTTGCTACCAGCTTCCACAATAACAAGCCGCCTCACACCTGAATCCAAGTTAGTGAACCCAAAATTTTCAAAATTAAGTGTAATGTTAACCAAACTAAAAAATAACACTTCAACATCAGTATTTTAGTCAAATTTCATTCAGGTTTCGAGGTTCAAAACAGAAAATTGTCAGTGCAAAGATTATATGTAGAAAGAAAGCATGAAGCCACTTTCTTCTGAAAAGGGGGAAAAGAAACCTACCAGGATTTGCCAAACGTTCCATCACTTTATGCAGAGAATCAGTTCGCAAACACATCTGGCATCTTTGACTTCTCAGCTCGTAAGGATTGTAAGATTCCTGGCCCAATTGCAATGCCTGGATAAATAAACCATGCAATAAATACTTAGATCCAAGAATTAAATCACTAAATAAACCTCCTAATTCATGTAGAAACATCAAGGAACACAACCGTAAAATACAAACTGATATTGGTACTATTCTTCAAAATGCAACCTTCCTTATTCTTCAACCAATTTCACAATTAACATCCACCAAATTTAAACAAAAAATTCTCAAACGCACAAATTATGACCCTTGTGCATTTAAATTACAAATTTCAAAACATTAACGAAAGGTAGCATCCATAGAATTATAAATGAACAGCAAAATCCTTGACTGGCATCAGCAACAAATTAGAGTGAAAAGACTGTTTTACCCAATTAATAAAAGAATTATAGCGGTAAGGTAATACTGTTTCATGGCACTGTAGGTAAGCAGCTCACCAAGTTATTTCCATTCATAATGTCCAAATCAGCCATAAAGGATAAGTTCCTATGCTAAGTTCCTATGTTAGTTCACAACAATGGGGAAGTTCACTCTTCATTGATAGAATGAAATTCATAACGAACGCATGAAGCCATTGATGCATATTAACTTTCAGTATCAAACAGAATTAATGCCTCACCTCTGCATCAATAACATTACTATTATTATTTTGAGAAAAGGAATCTAGTCCCATGTCAGATTTTACTTTAGCAATTAGCAATCATCTAACTTTCCTGTCAGTTTTGCTACTATCAACCTCTAGATCTCTTAAACAGACAATAATCAAGCAAAACAAACAACTGATCAAATATTATTTGAGATATTAGATGGCAACATTTCAAGAATGAAGGACATTACACAACTACAATAGGAAGGAAAAAGCACTAAATTAAAGTATCTTATATACTTTGTAACGCTGCCTAAATTCTTATATTCTTTGTAAGAGAGGAAAAACACTGATTTAATCTATCAGTTCTTGATAGTGTCCTCATGCAACCAGTTTCATATGGTCAGCAGAACTACCTAATCAGAAAAGATGAACTGTTCATATTTGTATTTTTTTTATTTTCACAACAGAAATTGTCTAGAAAAGTTTATTAGGGGAAAAACAAAACTTGCCTGATGAACAGTCATTTCATCAAGATTAATATGTGTATAAGCTCTGTCCTTTGCCAATGCTGTTATATCACTGTAAAGCAAGGAGGGAAGGAAAGGTGAGAAATAGGACAATTGAATCTTTGGACCATAGATTGATTCCGAATATCTCACAAGCAAGGCATCAAGATGTAAACTAATATGGATAAAAAACAACTAACCTTCGACAATATATATCCAGTAATGAGTCACTATCATCAACTATTGGTATTGAGCTTACTTGAGCTACAAAACAAAGAAAAAAATGTTATATTAGTATAATCATGTCAAGTAAGAAAACATCTATTTTAATGTCATTGTTTAAATAAGAAAAATGGATCATCCTTTCTTTATATTTAGCCCTAACAATCATCTCTTTTTGTTGTTTAATCACTTACAAACAACCTTTTTTCTCAAAACGGAGACAGTGCCCTCTCCCATAATGCCTAAAATTTAAAAATATAGTAGGATACCAATTTCTTTATTCTTTCTCTGTCGCTTTTTATTGGTACAATATGTTCAAGGTCAAACAAAGAAATCACACCTTGAACTAATAAGTTTAAGGCTGAAGTAAGCGAAGCACTTGGTCTCAACATTGCTAGAGGCCGGCAATTTGATTCCCCAATTTTGGGCACCCACGTGCCCACAGGGATTGCACAAATTGGAAGTTGGAGTATAGGCAATGAACTAGAACAATTCCTAAAATACCTGCAAATGCCTGAAAAATCAATTTGGTAAGAACCAACCATATCTTAAGCGCACGAAGAAAGCTGGGGGGGGGGGCGCTTACATTTAAGGATTCCTGAGAGTGAAGCAAGATGTAGTAACTGTGGAAATGAACCATCTTCAGAAGATGAATGGATAATAGGAACTGTTGAAATCCCATTTTGCAGGATCTTCACAGCAATATCTTTCAAATTATCATATGGTCCTGCCTGCATAAGCGAAAATAATCAATATAAGGGTCATTATATATTGATTACAATGACTATCCTAAATAGATGCTTATTAAGCACAGAAAGATATAAAGCAGGGTATTTATTGGGCAAAGTTTCACACATAACTCAAGGCACAGCTTTGTCAAATCCAAGTTCCAACATAAAAATATGCTGTCTAACTGCATAGATGGTGCAAAAGAGAGGTACTTATGATTAAAGCATAAAATGATGTGTGAAATGACAGGATTCTTTTTTATTTAATTAAACATTTACACAAGCAAAAGCAGAGATGGGATTGCATGAAGAATGCAAAAGGAACTATCTAAAAAATTGACATTAAAAGACCCTCTGCCTTACAATTTTGGAAACAATCTCCCTATACATTGGCCTTGAATGTCAATAAATACATGATATCGTGAATTTAACTTCAATAACTAAATAAATAAACAAAAGACAAAAATGAGCAATGAACAGAAAACAGTATTTTCTTTGTATTTGTTAGATATGGAAAAGGCCATAATTAAGTAGACACATACTGCAGTTTCTTCTCAGTCTGAAACAATAAAACAATAAAGCAGGATTTTCATTAAATACTTGACCATTTGAGGCTCTAATATGTTGCTAATATATTCTATCAAGTTCACAGCATCATCTACACTGAATTTTCACTTTAAACAAGACTAGCATTTGCATATGCCTGTGTTTCCAAACATCTTAATGTAAAATTACCAACAGAAATTGTTCAGCTAGATAATGTTCACATTATTTAAAATAGATATGACAGACATTCATTTTGTGTGTGCACAAACACTCACAACAATAACAAATACCTAGCCATTTCACACCCATTACCTTCATTTTAGTCAACTTAAATGCAGTATCTCGTTTTGCAGTTGTGTTACAAACAAATAAAACAGAGTGCTAGTATAATACTAATATTACAGATGAAAAACCTACAGAAAAGAGTATTGATTAAAAATTAAAAAATCAACTAAAATGAAGAAACTATTCAAAGATTACCTATTTCCTAATTATAAAGTGTTACAAATAAAATTCTTTAACTTAAGAATATCTGAAAAAGCTTTCAAATTCTAATTACAAAACAATATACTATGCAGGTGTAGGTAGTATTCCATATTTGTACCCACACTCAGACCCAAACCCATTGCAGGTATCTTTTATAGGTAGCCATAGGATTTGTATCCAATTTTCATTCCTATAGACCCACAACTAGAAGTTATCAAAAGATAAAGAAGCCCAAAATTCACTCACTAGTACAAAAGATGAGCATTCACATACCAAATACCATGAACAGGTATCTTTTAATGCCATAAAAAACTTACATGGATAAAACTTCTTGAAAATGCTGCCCATTTTCCTTCTTTCCAAGCTGATATGGTATGCGTTTCAAGCTCCTCTTCGGTCAGATTAGACCCATGATTTCCTAGCTGAAAAGGACAAGTTTTAACAAGCATTACCAAATATCAAGGATAGACAAAGGTTAAAGTTAGAATTTGCAGTTTAAC